ATGTTGCTCTGCTTTGCCTGAAAGCACATAATTTTGTATAATTTCCCCCAAATTGCTCCCATGGTGATAATGGGGGAGTTTTCTCCCTGGGCGCCTCAGTGAGATGTTTGTGTTGGGAATTGCATGTTCTATACTGTTAATGAACAGTGTCAGGAATTTAATAACTTAAGAGTTTAGAAATGTGCAGGGTATCTTGGGAGGAAGGGTTTTCCTTTCAGCTCCTCCACAGTGTTTGCATTTACTGAAAGTTTTGCATGGGTCTGTATAGTACCACAAAGCAAGACCATATAGCTGAAACCTAGATACTCATGACAGATAAACACGATTCACTTCATGTTTACCACGGGATCAATACATCATTTCAAGTAATCCAAGAAAAATGGTACCAAGTTAACACACTGCAAGATACATTATTTACCTACATTTGAGATTGGTACAAATAATTTCCTTCTCTATATTTTTGATGTGATGCTAAATTATTCAGCTTAAATTCATGACTAATCTCTGGCTTTCAGTTTTTCCAGTCTTCATAAAAATGCCAAATAACTACTATAATTCATTAAACAGGAAACAGCTTGCGCTGTATATGTAGACCTAGCACCACATGCCTTAAATCTGTTATAAAAATGGAACATCTAAGTTACGGTGGTGTAAAATAGGAGAAAAATAATTTTTGCTGGATCTCTGTGGAAGATACAGAGTGAGTAAGAATGAAATAATTAAGATAACTTTAAAGTCCTACTTGTAGTCCTGTCATAATAATCTTGTTTCTAGCTAAATAAAATCATCCCCTGGATTGCTTTTTAAACTGTGTTTCATATTGGTTTTTGCTTCCTGTCACAATATTGTTTTACCAGCAAAACAGCTGTCCTCGACAAGTCTGCCAAATGGAAAATCGATTTGGAAAATATGCTGACCCCTATTTTGTTCTGGTTTAGCATTTCACTTTCATTTAACAAAAGGTATACTAGTTTACATAACAAATGTTTTTTTCTTTAACTAACCAACTATTGCAGCTTTTTCCCTAGTAGGCATAAACTACTGTCAGGGCTTACCTCAGCTGTTACAGCAGCTGTGAATATGCCCTGCTGATCTCATGGAAAAGCTGGAGCTAGGAAACTAAGATGTCATGAAAATAGCTGAGGATGAGGTTTCGAGAAAAATATTCCTGTAATTTGTTGGAATTGGGGAAGTGAAATGTGCAATTCTAACAACAGTTGACAGATTTATAGACTCGGTACACTAATTAACAAGCAGCTTACTCTAATGTATTAATCTATGAAACAACAGCACCAGAGAGAGCTGCTCTGTTTTGTGCACAAGCATGGGGATGCTGAAGTGCCCTTCTCCTGTAATGATGGAATTATATATTGTATACAAAATTCAAGAATGATGTTAAACAAGAAGCAATTGAAGGATTACTTCCTTCTGGTGTGAAGGGAGATGTTTTGCTATAAACTGTATGTCTGTGTGCAAGACAGAAAGAAACAAAAAGTTTTCATTTGTTCTTTTCCTTCTCTTTTCATTGCTGTTTTTTGTTTACATGGCTGTGGTAGAATCCAGCTAAGAAGCTAGAACAGAAAAATCAAATAAAGCATTACTTAATCATTTCCACAACTACTTCTAGCTAAATCTTTGCTCATATCAGTGTAACATCTTGGGATTTTCATGCTTTGAGATTCATCTGTGGAATTCCTTTGTATAAAAGTTTCTTGGATTGGATAAGTGGTACAGCTTCCTTGTATCCTCCACCAATAATCTCAATAGATGGAGCCACTGAGGAAAGAAAAACAACATATTTCTGATGTGCATTTAAAGCACCTCCGATATTACATCTGTATTCATACTTCAGCAATGACTTAAATGTCTTGATAGATGACAAGATGACAGTTAAATGAAAATAACTGAATAATTTTGTTTTTTACAAACATCACTTTAGTTTGCTTTTGAATATAGAAAAGTAGAACTTAAATTCTATATGTGTAACAAAATACTAAGTCTGATTAAAGCCGAGGAATAATGATGCTTTTCGGGAAGAATGTGAAGCTTTAAAAAAACCCACATGAACAGTTCTGTAAATGTTTAAGGATACAATAGTTGAATCCCTTATAGTTTTATTTATTTATTTGCTGTTTCTTCACTAAACTTTCTCCCCACACCTTAATGGATAATATGTCCTTGAATATTCTCCTTATAGGCATTTAAATATGCCTATATCTGCTGAAGTTCCTAAGGCTGCAATTTGCTTGTAATCTTCCATCTGTTCCAAATTCATTGTAAATGCATACAGTCAGATCTTCAGCTCTATAAAAGCATCACATGAAGTCAGTGGAGCTACATGGAATACCTTCAGATGAGAATGTCGCTTGTGATATTTGTATCTCCACTTTTCCTGAACCCAAACTTGTTTTCACCATATAATTACATTTTTTTCACCATTCTGATCACAAATTGATATTAATTGCCTGATTTTGACTAAAGTTCACATTCACAATTATGTGACAAGGATTAATGTAATATAAGTGTGGACTTTACAAAAATGTTTAATCAAAACTTCTTTCATAAACTATTTTTCTAACAAAATGTTTACAAAAGGAAAGGATTTATGTTTAGTACTTTTCTTGTGTTGTCAGACTCCTGTAATGGTGCACAAGACCATTGTTCATGGCCAGGGAAGATGACAAGGATGGCTCTAGGTTAAAAATCTGTATTCCCTAGTTAGAAGGGTCACACTTGGAAATGTCCGTGTGCATTGGTTTTTGCCCTCAAAGTCTTCATCTTCAATTGCCTTATTGGAGAAGTTCCTTGTGATGCACGAAGGACCAAGGTGTATGTATCATTTGAAAGAATTATTCCACTACATTAGTAGCCATAAACCGTATATAGAAATGGGGTAGAGTGAAAGGATATCATGGAAATAATCTATTTACTGTAAATTATTTTACTTATTTTTACTGTTATTTAGCATAATCACAAGTAAAAACCGGGGTAAGATAAGAGCTGGAGAAGAAAACTGAAGTGATTGACTTCGCGTTACAATATTTTTTTATGTTCAATTAGGAAGCTACAGCAAACTTGGACTCACGATGTTGTCTCTGGATATCTAATTTACTTTGTAATAATAGTAAATCAGTAACTAAACCATTAAATGCTGACTTTAGCAGATTTTCTGTATGCTGGGTGTCTTTAGCTGTGTCCCCAGATGAAAAGCTTGTTTGTTTGTTTGTTTATTTTTAAGTATACAGTGCAGGTTACCAGGAAATAGCTCCTAGAAGCGTTCAGCAATCAAATTTTCCTAATTCAGTTCGTCTCCCAAATATGTTTTATAACATCTGTAATTAACCCCAAACCACTGCAAATCTGGCACTGGCATTCAGAATGCCGTCTTTGAAGTACCAAAGAAGCCATGGCAGTTGATTGCATTACCACCAGTAGTGTGTATTTTGTACCTTCAATATCAGTCTTCATGGTCTGACACAAGTCATAAGACTTTTATTGCTGTCAAGCCATATAAAATCCTGGTGTCAGGTTCTTAACACTTGGAAAGTAATAACACTCCTGATCTTCTATTTTAAAAAATATAGACATTCAGTTTGCTTTGAATAGATTTCCGTAGATAAAATACAGAACTTGTAGAGCTGAGTTACCTTTCTCACTAATAATTGTATATTTAACACCACCTTGCCATGAAACCTCAGTCAATTAATCTGTTTCTGTTCCCCACAAGTGTAAAATAGGATAGCAGTTCACAACTACGTTCATAAAACTCTTTAAAAGCACCGTGTGTGTCTTTCCTGTAAAGGCTGCATAAGAAATCTTGGATGGTTAATATCTTACTTTTAAAT